CTTATCCCAAATGCAGCCGAAACCCTCGTCCATGTGTTCATCACAGCCCGATTCGACTTTTCAAATGCCCTCTTTGCTGATATCCCCAGCTACACCATGCACAGGAACACTATTCCTCTATCCATCTGCATTGGCCCCTCATTACCTTCCTATTTGACCATGCCTACAAACGATACCCCCCTTTTCCCACCCCCACCAGCTCAGCATCATGCTCCGCCACTGTCAAGTGCTCTGGGACCTGTGTGAAGGGCGCTATATAATAATAATTGCTATATAAATGCAAGTTGTTGTTGAATTATACCAGGGCTTAAAGGGTTAAATTAAGAGGACAGGTTGCATAAACTTGGTCTGTAATCCCTTGAGTTCACGAGGTCAAGGTTGATCTGATTGAGGTGTTTAAAATAATAAAGGTATTCGATAGGATACATACAGAGAAACTATTTCCTCTGGTGGGTGGGGGAGTCTGGAAAAAGAGAACATCATTTAAAATTAGAGCCAGGCCATTCAGGAATGAAATCAGGAGGCAGTTTTTTCTCACAAAGGCTAGTGGAAATCTGGAACTCTCCCCCTCAAAAGGCTGTGGATGCTGGATCCATTCACAGACTGAGGTGGATATATGTTTATTAGGTTAGTGGTGGGTAATTGGAGTTGTCTTACAGATCAGCCATGATATTATAGAATGTTCTCTATTATTATTAAAAAAGAATTATTAAACAACATATTATTAATAATTATTTTGTAATAAATCATTTTACTAATAATTAATTTTAATGTGTGCATTTACAAACTAATCATTTAAAAAGATTATTAGTAAACAAAAATATTACAATTATCATTGATTATTTTGGCAATTTGCAGATGATACTAAGCTAAGAAGAGTAGTAAACAGTGAAGAGGATAGTAGCAGACTGCAAGAGAACATAGACAGACTGGGAAAATGGTTAGGCCTCAGCTGGAGACTGTGTTCAGTTCTGGGCCCCATACTTTAGGAAGGATGTCAAGGCATTGGAGAGGGTTCAAAGGAGATTAACCAGGATGGTACCAGGAATGAGGGACTTCAGGAGAGGCTCAAGAAGCTCGGATTATTCTCCTTGGAGCAGCGAAGGTTAAGAGGAGACTTAATAGAAGTTTTCAAAATGATTAGGGGATTCGATAGGGTGAACAAGGAGAAACTATTCCCACTGGCGGGTGGGTCGGTAACCCGAGGGCACCGAGTTAAAATAGCTGTTAAAAGAAACAGAGAGCAGGTGAGGAGAAATGTTTTCACACAGCGAGTTGTTGGGATCTGGAATGCATTGTGTGAAAGGCTGGTGGAAGCCGATTCGATAACAGCTTTTAAGAGAGAAATAGATTATTATTTGGGGAGGAGCTGGTGGTGAGATTGATTTGGAAAAGCTTTTTTCAAAGAGCGGCACAGACACGATGGGCCGAATGGCATCCTTCCGTGCTGTATAATTCTATGAATTTTTAATAAATAAATTTAATAAAAATGATTTATGTTGATAATTAATTTAATAATTTAATAATTTACAGATTATTATTAAAAAATGTACAAATTACAATTATTAAAAATATATATTCATTATTAACCAAAACTATCATTTAAATTAAGAATTGTAAGTTAATTTTAATGTAATTTACAAATGTTCTATTCATAAAATAACAATTGTTATTCAAATTAATTATTTAACAAAATATTAATAATTATCATTGATTCTTTTTACTAAATAATTTTAATAATAAACTTTAATCATGAATTGACATTTGCAAATTATTGTTATTAAAAATGAATTATTATTAAACAAAAATGCATAATTGACTGCCACTTTTCACCCAGAAAACACAGTGACTACCCTTTACAGTATATTCTGTGAAGCACTTTGAGACGTCTCCACAATCTGATAAAGTGCTGTGACAAATGCAAGGATTATTAGTGGTAGTATGAGCCGTTAAGCCATCAATATCAGTGGTGGGGGGGGGGGGGGGGGGTGTGGGGAGAGGGTGGAGGGGAAGACAAGAGAGTTTCTCTCTTCCAGTATCCAGGTCGACAGATAAAATTGCTCGCTCGCTGTTTGTGGGGACATTGCTGTGCACAGTTGGTTTCCTACGAAATAACCACCTGTCTTTATACAGCACCTTCAGAGGTGAGTGCTGAACCACAGTCACTCCACTTCACAGTGAATCCTGGGAAGCACTTTGAGACGTCTAGAAGACATGATAAGGCACTGTATCAAATGCAAGACTTATTATTAATACACTTGATACTCTCTCTCTGTGTGTCTCTGTCTTCCTCTCTCTCTGGATTGATTTGAAGATCCTCACACTCGCTTTCAAATCCCTTCAGGCCCCACACCTCTCAACCTCTGACAGACTGAGCCCACAACTTACTGCCTCCCCTCGACTGGCTCCAGCCTCCAGCACATCCCTCGTTCACTCCGTTCCCCCATCAGTATCTGCATTTTCAGCCATTGCGCCGCAAAACAATGTCAGTCTCTCCCTCTATCCCTCCCTCCGCCTCGCCCCCTCCTTCCCCATCTTCAGGTCGCGCCTGAGAACCTTCCTCTTCGACCGTGGCTACGGTCACCTGCCCCACACCACCCGCTTGGCATCGCACTCCACCACTGTCAAGCGATCTGGGACGCTATCCTGTGTGAAGGGCGCTGTGCTGTGTCTGTCTATCTGTCTCTGTGCAGTTACACTGCCTCACTCTCTCTCTCTTTCTCTCTCACTGCAGCCTCTCAGGACGGGCTGTGTTGTTGCTTCATTTCTGTGAGATCAGCACTTATTGATCTCAGCCCCAAAGCTCAGTCTTTCTCTTTCTCCGTCAAATCCTCACCCAAAGCCGTATGTTACTGTGTGTGTGTATCTGTGTTTGTGTCTGTCTGTGTGTCTGTGTCACTGCGTATGTGTATATATGTGTGTGTCTGTGAGTGTCTCTGTGTATGTGTGTCTGTGTGTATCTGTGTCTGTGTGTGAGTGTGGGAGAGTCTGTCAGTATCTATGTGTATGTCTCTGTCTGTCTGTCTGTGAGTGTATGTGAGTGTTTGTGTGTCTCTCTGGGTATGTGAGATTGTGTGCGTGTTTGTGTCAGTGTGTGAGTATTTGTATGTCTATGTCAGAGTGTCTGTGTGTCTATCAGTGTCTATGTGTGTGGGGGGTGGGGGGGTCTCTGTGTCTGTGAGTGTGTGTGTTTTTGGGTCTGTGTGTGAGTGAATGAGTGTGCGTGAGTGAGAGCCTCAGAGAGTTGCTGACGGTGTTTTGCTGGGGAAGCTCTCACTGCTGTGTGTGTGTGTGTCTCTCTCTGTGTCTCTCTTGGTATGTGTCTGTGTGTGTGTCTCTCTCTCTCTCTATGTTTCTCTCGGTATGTGTCTGTGTGTGTGTGTCTGTCTCTCTCTGTGTCTTTGTCTCTATCTCTGTCGCGTTCTCTCCGTATCTCTCTCTCTCTTCCTATTGATTGAGGATCGCTAGCATTGATGAGCTGGTGATCTGGAAGCTGTTTCTCTCTCTCCCTCCCTCCCTCTCCCTCACTCTGCTCTCTCCTACTATCTCTCAGTCTCTCTCCTATCTCTCTCTCACTCACTTACAGCGAGCAGAAACCATTAACCCATGAGTTGCCACCGCACTCTCTGTCTCCTCGGAATCTTTCTCCATCTGCAAGGTTCGCTTGTTTCTCTCTGACACTAACACACTCTCTCCCTCTCTCTCCCACTCCCTCTCTCAATACTCTCTCCCACTCCCTCTCACACACACACTCTCTCACACTCCCCCTCTCACACACTCTCTTTCCCTCTCTTTCACATTCCCTCTCACACAATCTCTTCCTCTCTCACACTCCCTCACTCAATACTCTCTCCCACTCCCTCTCTCACGTACTCTCTCCCTCTCTCTACCACTCCCTCTCTCACGTACTCTCTTCCTCTCTCTCCCACTCCCTCTCTCACATACTCTCTTCCTCTCTCTCCCACTCCCTCTCTCACATACTCTCTTCCTCTCTCTCCCACTCCCTCTCTGACATACTCTCTTCCTCTCTCTCCCACTCCCTCTCACACTCTCTCTCCCACTCCCTCTCTGACATAGTCTCTTCCTCTCTCTCCCACTCCCTCTCTCACATACTCTCTTCCTCTCTCTCCCACTCCCTCTCGCACACTCTCTCTCCCACTCCCTCTCGCACACTCTCTCTCACACTCCCTCCTCTCTCACATACACTCCCTCTCAAACACTTTCTCGCTCCCTCTCAGACTCTTTCTCCCAGCAGGATTATTATTATTGGAGTGGAGTCCTGTAGCTCAGTGGTGAGAGCACTCGCCTCACAAGCAAGAGACCTGGGTTCGATTCCCAGTAGGGCGAAACGTTGGGCAAGTTTATTTACTCCACATACCTGTTTACCTAGCAGTAAGTAGGAACCCTTATTGGGTTAGTCTGTTGGTGGAATCACTTTTCCGGGGTAATAGTCCCTTCATCAAATAATAATTTGATCACTTAATCTATGACTATTTGTGGATCACTGCTGTGAGCAATTGGCTGCTGCATTTTGCCCACAAAACATGCAGTCAATTCACTTCATTCTATGAAGCACTTTGAGACGTCTTGAAGACGTGATAATGCGCTATATCAAATGCAAGGATTATTATATTATTATTATATCATGGAATCCTCTATCTTAGTGGTCAGAGCACTCACCTCGCAAGCGAGAGGACCCCGGTTCGATTCCCAGGCAGGTCAGGGCAAAACCTTGGGCAAGTTTTCTTAATCCGTACACACGCCTTTGTTTACCAGCAGCAAGTAGGAACCCAGTTGGTGGATCGCTTTCTGGGGATAATAATCACTTTAAAAAATAATAATTTGGTCACTCAAATCCACGACTATTTGTGGAACACTGCTGTGTGCAATTGGCTGCCGTGTTTTGCCCACAAAATACAGTCACTACACTTTACAGTATATTCTGTGAAGCACTTTGAGCCAACTCGAAAACGCGCAATATCAAATGTAATGAGATTGACATGACTGATCTCTCCACTCTTTCTCCTCTCTTTCTCTTCGCCCCCCTCTCCACACTCCACCCGCCTCTCCCTTCCCCCTCTCTCTCTGCTCTCTCACCCCCCCTCTCAGGCTCTCAGCAGGGGGAGGGGCAGCGCAGACTGTATCGGGAGTTGATGAAGGATTATAATCCTCTCGAGCGACCCGTGTGGAATGACTCTGTGTCTCTCAGGGTCACCTTCTCCATCAGCTTCCTACAGATCCTGGACGTGGTGAGAATCTGTGTCTGCAAGACTGTTTGTGGGGATGACGCTGTGCGCAATTGGCTGCCTAAAATACACAGTCACTACACTTTACAGGATATTCTGTAAAGTGCTTTGAGATTGAAGCTTTCTGTAAAAATCTTTAAACCAGTAAGGAGGGGAGGGAGAGTGGTTGGGGGGAGGGTCGAGTGGAAACCCAAACATAAGGCAAGGAGAGGATGAGAGCAATGACCAGAATACAAACAGTGATAACCACATAAATACTACACGAAAGAAAAAAGATAATAGGAAGTTACCATAAAAGGTGAAAAAAGATGTGAGAAGAACATCGTCAGGGCATATAGACACTGGGGACAGTTACCAAAATAAAAGTTATTTACACAAATGCAGGAGCATAAGAAATAAAACAAGTGAGTAAATAGCACAAATTCAGCTTAAAGGTATGGTTACAAGATGGGCAGGATTGGGAGCTAAATATTCCATGCTATAAGATCTTTAGAAAAGATAGAGATATTGGGAAAGGAGGAGGAGCAATATCGATAGAAGACACTTATTACAGCAGTGGAAAGGAACAATTTCAGTCAGAGTGATCAGGTCATGGAAACACTGTGGGTAGAATTAGGAACAGCAAAAGGGATAAGACTCTGTTGGCAGTAGTCTACAGACCTCCAGTGAGTTGTGACGTAGTGGGGAAATTTATAAATACGGAGACCAGGGAAGCATGTAGCAAAAGCGATGTGGTTATAATGGGAGATTTTAATTTTCACATAGACTGGTAGAAGCAGGACACCTCAGGTGGTCAGGGCAACACATTTCTATAACGTATTCAGGATAGATTTTTTGGAACAATATGTTTTAGAACCATCAAGGGAACAAGCCACTGGATTTAGTGATGAGTAATGAGCCCAAACTAGTTAACAATCTGACAGTAAGGGAACATCTTGCAAATAGTGATAATAATATGATTGAATTTGACATTGGGTCTGAGAGGAAGAAGGGAGAGACCCAAACCAAGGTTTCAAATTTAAATAAGACAAACTTTGATGGGATGAGAAATATAGTAAACTGGGCTGAAAGGTTAGTGGGTAAACCTGCAGATGAACAATGGGAACTATTGAAAAAAGTATTTGATACAATACAGAAGAAGCACATAGTACAGAGTCCCAAAATACAAACACTCCAATTGTGTAGTTAAGCAACCATGGTGGACAAAAGAGGTTAGAGACTGTATCAAACTGAAAGAAAAAGCTTCCTCAAATACAAGAAAGTGGGATTGCAGAGGACTGGGAGAACTACAACAGGCAACAAAGGGATACAAAGACAGTAATAAGAGGAGCAAAAAGGGAGTATGAAAAGCAACGATATTAAAACCAATAGTAAAAACTTTTATAAATATATTAAAAGAAAGAGAATGGTCAAGGAGAATGTGGGTCCATTAAAGACAGATGTAGGTGAGACTATAATGAAGAATAAGGAAATAGCTGACTTACCATTTTTACAGTAGAGGTGAGGACAATATACCAGCTGTACAAGGGACCCTAACAAATCTAATAGAAATTTTCGATGAGGTAACGGAGAGGGTGGATAAAGGTAGTGCAGTTGATGTAGTTTATATGGACTTTCAAAAAGCATTTGACAAAGTGCCACATGAAAGACTTGTAAGAAAGATAGAAGCCAATGGTATAAAAGGGACACTGGCAGCGGATCCAGAACTCACTGGGAGACAGAAAGCAGAGAGTTGTGGTGAACGGCTGCTTTTCTGACTGGAGGGAAGTGTACAGTGGCGTCCCCCAGGGATCGGTATTAGAACCACTGCTCTTCTTAATATACATAAATGTTCTGGACTTGGGTATAGCAAGCACCATTTCCAAGTTTGCGGACGACACAAAGTTAGGGAGGGGGTAAACAGTGAGAAGGACAGGAGCCGACTGCAGGAAGACATAGACAGATGGTAAAATGGGCGACACATGGCAGATGAGTTTCAATGTGGAGAAATGCGAGGTAATGCATTTTGGTAGAAAGAATGAGGGGAGGCAATATAGGCTGGTAATACAATCTTAAGGGGGTGAAGGAACAGAGAGATATTGGGGGTTCAGGTAAATGAATCCTTGAAGGTGGTAGATACAGCTGTAAAAAGGGCATATGGGATACTAGGCTTTATAAATTGGGGCATAGGGTACAAGAGTCAGGAGGTTATGATTAACCTATATAAACACTGGTTAGGCCTCAGATAGAATACTGCGCCCAGTTCTGGGCATCACAACAGGAAGGATGTTAAGACAATGGAAAGGGTGTAGAGGAGATTTACGAGGATGGTACCAGGAATGAGGGACCTTGATTAATAATAATAATAATCCTTGCATTTGATATAGCGCTTTTCACGTCGGGAGGACATCCCAAAGTGCTTCACAGAACACACTGTAAAGTGAATTGACTGTATATTTGTGGGTGAACGCGGCAGCCAATTGCGCACAGCGATGTCCCACAAACACTCGTAGATTGAAAATGACCAATTTATTATTGTTTTTGGTTTTGGAGGGATTATTATTATGATTATGAGGAAAGGCGAGAGAGACTGGGATTATTCTCATTGGAGCAGAGAAGGTTACGAGGAGACCTAATAGAGGCCTTCAAAATCATGAGGGGATTTGATAGGTTAGATAGGGAAAAACTGTTTCCACTGGTGGGTGTGTTGGTAACTCGAGGTCACAGATTCAAAATAGTCTCTAAAAGAAGCAGAGGGGATGTGAGAAGACATTTCTCCACGTAGCGAGTTGTTGGAATCTGGAACGCATTGCCTGAAAGGGCGGTCGAGGCCGATTCGATAACTACTTTTAAAAACGCGGTGGATGGGTATTTGAGGAGGACGGGTTTGCAGGTTATGGGGAAAGGGCTGGGGAGTGGGATTGACATTGCTCTTCTCAAAGAGCTGGCACTGACTCGATGGGCCGAATGGCCTCTTTTTACTGTACGATACTATGATTCTATGATAATAATAGGTCAAAGTGAAAAGCTTACATAACAAAATGGAAATAGAGAAAATAATGCCGGCAGGTCTCTCTGCTCTTTTACCCCCCCTTAAGATTGTATTACCAGCCTATATTGCCTCCCCTCATTCTTTCTACCAAAATGCATTACCTCGCATTTCTCCACATTGAAACTCCTCTGCCATGTGTCTGCCCATTTTACCACTCTGTCTATGTCTTCCTGCAGTCGGCTCCTATCCTTCTCACTGTTTACCCCCTCCCTAACTTTGTGTCGTCCGCAAACTTGGAAATGGTGCTTGCTATACCCAAGTCCAGATCATTTATGTATATTAAGATACATTTATGTATTCTTAATGTATATTAAGCAGTGGTCCTAATTCCGATCCCTGGGGGACGCCACTGTACACTTCCCTCCAGTCAGAAAAGCAGCCGTTCACCACAACTCTCTGCTTTCTGTCTCCCGGCCAATTCTGGATCCACTGCCACTGTCCCTTTTATACCATGGGCTTCTATCTTTCTTACAAGTCTTTCATGTGGCACTTTGTCAAATGCCTTTTGAAAGTCCATATAAACTACATCAACTGCACTACCTTTATCCACCCTCTCCATTACCTCATTGAAAAATTCTATTAGATTTATTAGACAAGATTTGCCTTTAACAAATCCGTTCTGGCTTTCCCTAATTAATCCATATTCTTCTAAGTGAAGATTTATTCTGTCCCGGATTATAGTCTCCAGGAGTTTCCCCACTACTGATGTTAGGCTGACTGGCCTGTAGTTCCCAGGTTTGTCCTTATGTCCCTTTTTATACAGGTGAGTCACATTGGCCACTCTCCAGGCTTCTGGCACCACTCCTGTGTCCAACGAAGATTGAAAAATTGTAGCTAAAGCCTCCGCTATTTGTACCCGTGCCTCCCATAGTAACGTTGGCTGCATCCCGTCCGGACCGGGCGACTTGTCGACCTTCAACCCAGTCAACCTTCTCAGTACTTCCTCTCTGTTTATACTTATCCTATCCATTACCCTCTCCTCCAATACTGCAGCATTGCAGCAATACTCCACTTCTTTTGTGAAGACAGATGCAAAGTACTCATTCAGCACATCAGCCATGCGCTCTGCCTCCACAATAAGATTTCCCCCTTGATCCTTAATTGGCCCCATTCTACCTTTGACTAGCCTTTTTTTCTTGATATGTTTGTAAAATATTTTAGAATTCCCTTTAATGTTACCCACTAACCTTTTTTCATATAATCTTTTTGCCCCTCTTATTTCCTTTTTCAAACCTCTTCTGCACTTCCTATATTCTATTTGGTTGTCTTCTGTATCTTGGGTTTAACATTTGTCATACGCCTCCTTTTTCTGCTTCATTCTAGATACAATTACCTTTGTTATCCAGGGATGTTTGGAAGCCCTACTTTTCCCTTTTGTGGGAATGTATTTATTCCCACAAAAGTCCCCAAGCTATCTCATCCTTCAAGACTTCCCACTGCTCTTTAGTTATTTTACCTGCCAATCTTTCTTTCCAGTCCACCTTGGCTCGGTCCCTTTTTAACTCTCTGAAATTTGCCCTCTTCCAGTTGAGTATCTTCATCTTAGATGGTTCCTTGTCTCTTTCCATATGCACTCTGAATCTAATGATGTTATGATCACTATTGCCCAGATGCTCTCCCATTGAAACCTGCTCCACTTCATTCCCCAGTACTAGATCTAGCACTGCTTCCTTCTTCGTTGGGCTGGAAATGTACTGATCAAGAAAGTTGTCCTGTATGCATTTTAGGAATCTTTCCCCCTCCTTGCCCTTTGCGCTGATGTTTTGCCAGTCTATGTTGGGATAATTAAAGTCCCCCATTATCACAACTCTATTGGCCTTGCATCTGTCTGAGATCTGCTTGCAGATCTGCTCATGTAATTCCTTCCCACTATTTGGTGGTCTATAGTATACCCCGACCAGCGTAACAGCTCCTTTATTGTTCCTGAACTCTAACCAGATAGATTCCGTTTTGGGGTCCTCCTGCACCTTTCCACGGCTATAACCGTATCTTTGACAAAATGGCCACACCCCCTCCTTTTTTTCCTTCCCTATCCCTCCTGAATACATTATAGCCAGGAATATTCAGCTGTCATTCCTGTCCTTGATTGAGTCAAGCTTCTGTTACAGAGACTTGGCTCAAGCAAGGACAGGAATGGATTGAAAGGATTAGTTTAACAGATCAGGGATCTCCCCATTAAGAGGGAGAAAATGGAATATGAGGGCAAACTAGCAAAGAACATAAAAACAGACAGCAAGAGTTTTTATAAATATATAAAGAGGAAGAGGCTGTCGAAGGTAAATGTGGGTACGCTGCAGGCAGAGACGGAGGGAATTATAGTAGGTGACAAAGACATGGCAGAGTCATTAAATAAGTACTTTGCTACTGTCTTCACATTAGAAGACACTGAAAACGTACCAAGAATAGAGGGGAACCAAGAAGTCAATGTTAGCGATCAACTTGGAGGAATTAATATTAGTAAAGAAATGATTTTAGGTAAATTGTCAGGTCTTAAAACTGATAAATCTCCTGGACCTGATGGCCTACATCCTAGGGTTTTAAAAGAGGTGGCTACTGAGATAGTGGATGGCTTGTCTTTGATCTTCCAAAATTCTCTGGAATCTGGAACGGTTCCTATTGATTGGAAGATTGCAAACGTAACACCACTATTTAAGAAGGGTGGGAGAGAAAAGATGGGGCACTATAGACCAGTTAGTCTGACATCAGTGGTAGGGAAAATTCTTGAGTCCTTAATTAAAGATGTCGTTATGGGATTCCTGGAAGACCATAACAAGATTAGGCAGAGTCAACATGGCTTTACAATAGGGAAGTCATGCTTAACTAATCTTTTAGAGTGTTTTGAAGACGTATCTAGCAGGTTAGATAGGGGGGAACCAGTAGATGTAGTATATTTAGATTTTAAAAAGTCATTTGACAAAGTGCCACACAAAAGGCTATTGCACAAGGTTAAGGCCCACGGGATTAATGGGAACATATTAGCATGGATTGAAGAGTGGCTAATGGGTAGAAAACAGAGAGTAGAGATAAACGGGTCATTCTTGAATTGGCAGGATGTGACTAGTGGAGTGCCACAAGGATCAGTGCTTGGGCTTCAGCTATTTACAATTTATATCAATGATCTAGACGAGGACATTGAATCTAATGTATCTAAGTTCGTGGATGACACTAAACTAGGTGGGAGAGTAAGCTCTGAGGATGATGCAAAAAGATTGCAATGGGATTATAGATAGGCTCGGGGAGTGGGCGAGTAGGTGACAGATGGAATTTAATGTGGGGAAGTGTGAAGTTATTCACCTAGGTAGAAAAACAGATTATTTTCTAGAGGGGGAGAGATTAGATAGTGTTAGTGTTCAGAGGGATTTGGTTGTCCTTGTACACCAGTCTCAAAAAGTTAGTTTGCAGGTGCAACAAGCAACTGAAAAGGCGAACGGCATGTTAGCGTTCATTGCAAAAGGTTTAGAGTACAAGAGTAGGGAAGTCTTGCTGCAACTGTATAGGGCCTTGGTGGGACCGCACCTAGAGTATTGTGTGCAGTTTTGGTCTCCTTATTTACTTGCCCTAGAGGGGGTGTAGCGTAGATTCACTCGGTTAGTTCCTGGGATGAGGGGACTGACCCATGAGGATAGGCTGAATAAACTATATTCTCTAAAACTGTAATAAACTGTATTCTCTAGAGTACAGAAGAATTAGGGGAGATCTTATTGAAACATATAAGATTCTTAAAGGGCTGATAAAGTAGACACTGAGGGTCTGTTTCCCCTGGTAGGAGAATCTATAACCAGGGGTCACAGTCTTAAAATTAAGGGTCAGCCTTTTAGAACAGAGTTGAGGAAACATTTTTTCACTCAGAGGGTAGTGAATTTATGGAATTCACTCCCCCAGAAGGCTGTAGATGCTCAGTCCTTGAACATCTTCAAGGCTGAGACTGATAGATTTTTTTAAAAATAGAGGGATTAGGAGATATGGAGATAGGGCAGGTAATTAGAGTTAGGTCTGAAGATCAGCCATGATCTTATCAAATGGCGGGGCACAGGCTCGAGGGGCCGAATGGCCTACTCCTGCTCCTAATTCTTATGTTCTTATCAGCCATGATCTAGCTAAATAGTGGAACAGACTCTGAAAGGGCTGAATGGCCGACTCCTGTTCCTAAGTTCCTATGTCTCAAAGAGGTGATAAAGCTCTATATCAAATTCGAGGATTACTATTACAGTCACACGTACGTCTTCAAGTAAACACACAGATATATATATGTTTAGACAAATTTATGTATGCAATCATATATGTATCATAATCTAATAATGAAAATCCTTGCCTTTAACACAGCGCCTTATCATGTCATTCAGACGTCTCAAAGCGCTTCACATAACATGCTGTAAAGTGTACTGAAACACAATCACACAGTCACTGCTAAACCCCATCGCTGTGATCTGACACAAGCAGAAAGCACAAGATGGACGGACAAAGAGACAGATACACACTGACAGACAGATGCACTCAACACACAGAAAGACTCACACAACAGACAGACAAACTGAGGCATGTTATTCTGTTGCAGGATGAAAAGAACCAGATTTTGACAACGAATTTCTGGCTACACATGGTAAGTGGTTAGAGCACTCGCCTCGCAAGCAAAAGGATCCGGGTTCGATTCCCGGCAGGGCGAAACCTTAGGCAAGTTTCCTTACTCCACACACAAGCCTCTTTTTATCTAGCAGTAAGTAGAAACCTGGTTGTTAGTTGATTGGCGGATTGCTTTCCGGGCGTACTACTCCATCCAAAAAACTAATAATAATAATGTGGTCGCTCAATCCATGACTGTTTGTGGGATACTGCCATGCACAATTGGCTGCCATATTTTACTCATAAAATATAGTCTTTCCGGTATATTCTGTGAATCGTTTTGAGACGTCTCGAAGATGTGTTAAGGTGCTTTATCAAATGCAGGGATTCAAAATATATCCAATCCAAACTGAGGTTTCCAACCATCCCACCTGCACATGGCAATCCCAGATAGATTGTGGGAATGGAATGCGTGCTCTGTCATGCTCCCTGAAGGGACGTCCCCTGCTTACCTAATTCCGGAGAGTATTAGGCGCAGGTTGCTGAGAGCCAAGGCTTGGGGATCCCAGAGTGTGGTTTGGGGTAACTCTGGAATCTAACCACCTAAACCCACACAGCTTGGGCATTGATATCACTGTCTGACAAACTTTCCCGCTGCTTGTCCAGCTAGGACCACCCTCCTCATTAGGGCTTTGGTTGCAGGGTTAACAGTTGCTGAGTGGAATGACTCCCTGCCCCCAGTGACTGGTCGGCCCTTCCAGGTCTTGCTGATGAGCCGATGTCATCAGCAGTGAGGGCCCTGGAATACTGCGGCCCCTCCTGGCTCAGGAGCTTTACCACAGGGGAAGAGGGGGGTGGTTTATCAGGAGTTGGTGTGACCAGACTGCTCTGTTGCAGACCTGGTTCGATCACTACCTGCGCTGGAATGAGTCGGAGTTTCCGGGGGTCAAGAACGTGCGATTCCGTGCGGATCAGGTCTGGACACCTGACATCCTGCTCTATAACAGGTAGGGTTCCACAACAGAACAGACAGGGAGCAGCTCAGACTCCTCTGGAACAGGCAACAGCTTCTCTAGAACATGCAATAACTTCTGCTGAACAGATAGTGGCCCCCCCTCACCCTGAGAACAGACAAAATCTACTCTAGAACAGACCCGGCCTACTCAAGAGCAGACAATATCTACCTTAGACCACCGACATGTAATATTTTCTAGAACAGATAAGATCTGCTCTGGAATAAGCAGAGTCTACCCTGGAGGATGGTCTGTCTAAGAACATGTAATATCTACTCTAGAACCGATGTTTACTCCAGAACAGGCAGCATCTACTTCAGAACAGACAGGGTCTCCCCCAGAATAGACAGTATCTCCTGAAGAAAAAGAACAACAACAACAAAATTACACTTGTACAGCACCTTTCAAGTCGGGAGGACGTCCCAAGGTGCTGGACAGGCAGAGTTTCGGACATGTAATAACTACTCTAGAACAGGCAACATCTACTCCAGAATAAGCAACAGCCAGGGACCAGAGTGATGGGGGTGTTGATAGGAACAAGAGATGCTGTGTAACTCAGGGGTTAGAGCGCTCGGCTCACAAGCGAGAGGAAACGGTTAGATTCCAGGCAGTTTAGGGCAAAACGTTAGGCGAGTTTCCTTACTCCACATTTCTCTGTTTATCTAATAAGGTACAGATCAGCCATGTTGAGGTACAGATCAGCCATGTTGAGGTACAGATCAGCCATGACCTTATAGAATGGTGGAACAGGCTTGAGGGGCTGAATGGCCTCCTCCTGTTCCCATGTTTCTATATTCCTACGTCTGGCAAGTTTTCAAGCTTTGGCTTGTCCAGCTAAGACCACCCTACCCGACTTTGGCTGCAGAGTTAACAGAAGCTGAGTGGGATGACTCCCTGCCCACAGTGACTGGTCTGCCCTACGATGAACCAGGCTGGCTGTGGGGGTATTGAGAGAGACAGGAGAGAGAGAACGTAAAAGAGAGAGAGTGACGGAATCTATTCTGTTACAGCGCTGATGATGACTTTGACTCAACATATAAACCCCATGTTCTCGTTAACTCCACCGGTTACTGTACGTTTATGCCTCCAGGTAAGATCTTTCTCTTATGCACTCTCGCAGACTGTCTCTCAAACACACTGTCTCTCACACTCACACACAGTCACTCTCATACCCACTCTTACATTCTCTCATTCTCTCACATTCACACACTCACACTCTCTCACAAACTCATATTCCCTCTCTCATTCTCTCTCACCCACAGACTCTCTGTCTCTCACACAGGTATATTCCGAAGCTCGTGCCAGGTTGATGTGAGGTGGTTTCCCTTTGACACACAGGAATGTGAGCTAAAGTTCGGATCCTGGACCTATGATGGCTGGCTCCTCGATCTGCGAATGTCACCCGCTGATTTATCTGGGTTCATCCCAAACGGGGAGTGGGACCTGCTGGGTGAGAGAGAGGGAGTATGTGAGAAAAAGAGTGTGAGGGAGAGAGTGTGTGTGCAAGAGAGTATGTGAGAGGGAGAGCGTGTGTGTAAGAGAGGGTTGTGAGAGTGTGCGGTAGAGAGTGAGAGGGGGAAAGAGATGGGGAGAGAGAGAGAGAGAGTGAGTGAGAGAGAGGGAAGTGGAACCTTCTGGGTGAGTATCCTGTTGCTCAGTGGTTAGAGCACCCGCTTTGCAAGCGAGAGGACCTGGGTTCAATTCCCGGGCGGGGGCGAAGAGAGAGCGTGTGAGGGACTCATTTAACCAGGTTCAACGGGGAGTGGGACCTGATGGGTGAGAGAGGGACGGTGTGAGAGAGAGAGAGAGAGAGGGGGGTGGGGTGAGGGTGAGAGAGAGAATGTGAGAGAGAGGGGAGAGAGAGTGTGAGAGAGAATGAGAGAGAGAGAGAGGAAATAGAGTGTTTGAGAGAGGGAGAGAGTGTGCTTGAGAGAGAGGGAGTCGGAGGGGGAGATGGATAGAGAGTGTGAGACAGAGGAGTGGGACATTCTGGATGAGAGATGGAGTGTGAGGGAGAGAGAAATACTGCGTGAAGTTAGAGAGAGAGTATCTGAGAGGGAGGGGAGGGAGAGAGTATGTGTGTGAGAGAAGGGGGGGGGGGGGGGTGGAGAGAGTGTGTGAGAGAGAGTGTGTGAGACATGCTGGATGAGAGAGGGAGGGTAAAAGGAGAGGGAGAGTGTGTGAGATGAGAGTGTAAGAGAGTGAGGGATAGGGGGGAGTGGGACCTGCCGGGTGCATGTGAGAGAGAGGGAGCCATGGGAGAGTGATTCTCTCTGTCTATATGTGTGTCTCTCCCCATCTCTCTTTCACTCTCTCTCTCTCCCCCACCACCCCACCTCCCTCTATTTTTCTCTCGCTCTCTCACACACATTCACACTCTTATTCCCTACCCCTCTCTCTAACACTCTCTCATACTTGGCCTCTCTCCCCGCCCCCTCTCTGTGTCACTCTCTCAGTGTTTTTCTCTCTCTCTCTCTCTCACACATACACATGCTCTCTCTCGGTCTCACTATGTGTAAGACTCCAGGACAGAGCAAGGTGGTGGTGTTGTTGTTTAGATATCCAGTCTAAAAAACAACCATCACACACACTCTCCTCGCACACACTTATTCTCCCTAACACACTCGCTCACTATGCCTATTATCTCTGTCATTCATTCTCTCTGTGTCTCACTCTCTCTCTCACTCCCAGCACAGAGAAACAAGGTGTTCTATGTATGTGTGTCTCTCTTTCTGTGTGTCACTCTCTCTCCCGCCCTCTCTCACTCTGTCTCTCTTCCACACTCCCTCTTTATGTCACTGTATGTGTCTAACCCTCTCTCGCTCACATTCTCTCTGAGTCAGAGAAACAAGGTGTTCTATGATTCTGTGTATGTGTCTCTGTGTCACACTCTCACTCTCTCTGTCTCTTTCTCTGTCACTCTCTCTGAGTCTCTCTCTCACTGTGTGTCACGCACTCACTCTGTTGTCGCTCTCTCTCACACACTCATAAAATCGTAGAATATTACAGCACAGAAGGAGGCCATTCAGCCCATTGTGCCTGCTCTTTGGAAGAGCTTCCAATCAGTCCCCCTCCCCCGCTTTTCCCCATATCCCTGCAATGTTCTTCCTCTTCAAGAACCTAATGAATTCCCTTTTAAAAGTTGTTATTGAATCTGTTCCACCAGCCTTTCAGGAGTGCATTCCAGACTGTAACAACTTTCTGTATAAAATAAATTCTCCTCATCTCCCTCCTGGTTCTTTTACCAATTATCTTAAATCTATGTCTCCTGGTTACTGACCCACCTGCCAATGGAAACAGTTTTTCTCTATTTACTCTATCAAACCCCCTAATAATTTTGAAGACTTATATTAAATCTCACCTTAACCTTCTCTGCTCTAAGAACAACAATCCAAGCCTCTCTAGTCTCTCCACATATCTAAAGTCCCTCATCCCTGGTACAAATCTGGTAAATCTCCTCTGCACCCTCTCCAAAGCCTTAATATCCTTCCTAAAGTGTAGTGCCCAGAATTGGACACAATATTCCAGCTGAGGCCTAACCAATGACCTATAAAGCTTAGCAGAACTTCCTTGCTTTTGTACTCTATTCCTCTATTATAAAGCCAAGGATCCCATATGCTTTTTTAACAGCTCAATCAACCTGTTCTGCCACCTACATACAGCAACAACAAAATGACATGTGTTTAGCGCCTTTCACATCTGGAGGATGTCCCAAGGCACTAGAGATTCAGTGTTTCGGACCCAAGCTGGGGTTTGGGATCGGGGAAGGTGGAGGATGGGGTGGGGGGGGGAGCAGGAAGATTGAAAGCATGGTCGAAGAGGAGGGTCTTGAGACAGGTCTTGAAGGTGGCGAGGGAGGGGGCAAGGTGGAGGGAATGTGGGTTGGAGTTCCAGAGGGTGGCGGCAGAGTTGCAGAAGGCCCGCCCACCAACCGTGGGGCAGGCGAGGCAGGGACGTGAAGTAGGTCGGAGCACGCTGAGCGGAGGGAGCGAACAGGAGGAAGGGAGGAGCAAGATCATGGAGGTCTTTGAAGGTGTCTCTCGCTCTGTGTGTGTCAGTGTGTCTCCCTCACTCTCTCTCGCTGTCTCTCTCTCACTCTCTGAGTCTCTCTCTCTGTCTCTGTCTCTCACTCTCTCTCTCCCTCACTCTGTGTCTCTCTCTCTCTCTATATATATATATAGGAGTCCCAGGACAGAGGCATGAGGTGTTTTATGAGTGTTGTCCGGAACCTTTCCCTGACGTGACGTTCTATGTGACAATTCGCAGACGGACGCTGTACTATGCTCTCAACCTGTTGGTTCCCTGCGTCCTGCTATCCTCCATGACCCTCCTCGTGTTCCTCCTGCCCGCGGACTCGGGAGAAAAGATCTCCCTTGGTCAGTCTCTCCCCCACTTCCCTCATCCCTCACGTCACACACCCCACCTCTCCCTCACACCCCCACCCTCATGCTCTCCTCCACTACACCCCCTTTTTTATGCCCGGAAAGTGATCTGCCAATCGACTAATAACCAGGTTCCTACTTACTGTGAGGTAAACAAAGGCGTGTGTGTAGAATAAGGAAACTTGCCTAAGACTTTCACCCGGCCCAGCAATCAAACTCAGGTCTCTCTCTTGTGAGACGAGCGCTCTAACCACTGAGCTACAGGGCTCCACAAACATTTACATTGACCAGAGAGATGCCTCACAGCATTTCATCACTTAACTTTACACAGCGCCTTTAATGTAAGTGAAGTGTTGCGAGAAGTGTTTCTACTGCACACATGCACGCCTCTGTTTACCTAACAGTAAATAATAATAATAATAATCCTTGCATTTGATATAGTGCTTTTCACGTCGGGAGGACGTCCCAAAGCGCTTCACAGAACACACTGTAAAGTGAATTGACTGTATATTTGTGGGCGAACGCGGCAGCCAATTGCGCACAGCAATGTCCCACAAACAGTCGTAGATTGAAAATGACCAATTTATTATTGTTTTTGGTTTTGGAGGGATTATTATTAGGCTCTGTGTGGAGTAAGGAAACTTGCCCAAGGTTTCGCCCTCTGCCTGGAATTGAACTCAGGTCTCTCACTTGCAAAGCGAGTGCTCTAACCACTGAGCTACACATGTTTTCAACAATGTTTTTAAATGTATATTTTTTTGAATAATAACAATAATTGATCACGCAATCCATGACTATTTGTGGAACCCTCACTGCTGTGCGCAATTGGCTGCCGCATTTCGCCCACAAAATTCACACTAAATTCACTTTACAGTATAGCCTGTGAAGCGCTTTGAGACGCCTAGAAGATGTGGTTAGGCGCTGTATCGAATGCAAGGATTATTATTATTATTCCACCCGTCACACCGCCCTGGCTAGCTTCCTGTGTCTTTGTCTATATTGACCGCACATTTTATATCTTCCCTCCTCTTGTCTCTTCTCCCTCGCTCAGTGTCCCACTTCACCACAGTGTGTGTGCGTGTCTGTATGTGTTTATATTGTGTGTGTGTACGTGTGTTTGTATACACAGGTATCACCGTTCTCCTGTCTCTCACGGTTTTCATGTTACTGGTGGCAGAGATCATGCCTGCAACATCAGACTCCATCCCCCTGATAGGTAAGTATAACCCTCCCTCCCTATTAGCCCCTCCTGTTACCCCTAACCTGGAGTCCTGGAGCTCAGTGGTCAGTGCGCTCAACTCACAAGTAAGCGGATCCGGGTTAAATTCCCGGGCAGGGCGAAAGGTTGGTCAAGTTTCCTTACTCCACACACACACACACACACACACACGCCTCTGTTTACCAGCAGTAAGTAGGAACCTGCTTGTTAGTCGTTTGCCAGATCGCTTTTCCGGGGCTAATAATCTTTTCAAAATAAATAGAAACAATAATTTGGTCACTCAACCCATGACTGTTTGTGGGACACTGCTGTGTGTAATTGGCTGCCTCATTTCACCCACAAAATACACAGACACTACACTTTACAGATTATTATTGTTATAATTGGTAAATATACCCTATTATAACAATAATAATCCTATAGAATATTACAGCCAGAAGGTGGTCATTCGGCCCATCGTGCCTGTGCCTGCTCTTTCGATTAGCTCCCCAAACAGTCCCACTCCCCCGCTCTTTCCCCATATCCCTGCAATTTTCTTCCTCTTCAAGAACCTGTCCAGTTCCTGTCTCAAAGTTGTTATTGAATCTGTTTCCACCGACCCTTTCAGGCAGTGGATCACTTTCCGGAGGCAATAATCCCTTCAAAAATGATAATAATAATAATAATAATTTGTTCACTCAATCCAGGACTGTTTGTGGGACCCTGTTGTGTGCAATTGGCTGCCACATTTCGCCCACAAAATTTACAGTCGATTCACTTAACAGTATATTCTGTGAAGTAAATAGGGCGCTATATCAAATGCAAGGATTATTATTATCATTTACATTGAATAGAGATATCTCACAACACTTCACCACTTACACAGCACCTTATCACGTCTTTGAGATGTCTCAAAGTGTTTCACAAGATATACTGTAAAGTGTAGTGACTGTATTTTGTGAACGGAACTCAGCAACCCATTGTGCACAGCAGTGTCCCACAAAAAGCCATGGTCACGGATTGAGCGACCAAATTATTTTTTTTGCAAAGGAATTATTAACCCTGGAAATCAATCAGCCAATCGACTAACAAGCTGGTTCCTACTTACTGCTGGGTAAACAGATGATTGGGGAGTAAGGAAACTTGCCTAAATTGCCCGGGAATAATCCACGTCAGTGTGTGGGATGTTTTGGTGCGCCAATAGCTGCCGTGTTTCGCCCAAAAATCACACAATCACTACACTACACATCCTGAGAGGCGCTTAGAAACATCTCAACAACATTATTATAAACACACAGTGACTATACTTTGCAGTGAATTCACGTTACAGTATATTCTGTGAAGCGCTTTGAAGCGTCACAAAGACGTGATGAGGTGTTGTGTGATATCAAGGATGATTATTATTATTGGTATTTACTGTCCGCTGTGTGTTCTTTTGTAGGACAGTATTTCGCCAGCACCATGATCATTGTGGGTATGACTGTCATCGCAACTGTCGTCGTTTTACAATATCATCATCACAACCCGACCGGGGGCAAAATACCCAAATGGGTAAGACATCTCTGGGGGTGAAAGCCACTGTGTAAACTGAAATGTAATTCCAAGGCGACATGTTTGGCAACTGAATAACGAGGCAGCCTCTAGGGTCCCAGAGAACTCACGGCTGACCACAGCACAGCCCAGCCTGGCTAATCGGCAGTTGGAAGGGCCAACTGGGGGCAGGGAATCCTCCCCCTCAGCTCCTGTTAACCCTACAGCCAAAGCCCCAACTAATGGGGAGGGGGGTTCTAGCTGAACAAGCAGCAGGAAAGCTGCCAGGCAGTGATATCGATGGCCAAGCTTTGTGTGGGTTTAGCTGGTTAGACTCCAGCAGTTACCCCAACGCAAACTTTGGGCTCCCCCCAAGCCTTGGCTCTCACCCAACCTGCACCTAATACTCTCTGGAATTAGGTAAACAGGGGGCGTCCCTCCAGGGCATTCAATTCCAATAACCTATCTCTGAGGTTTCCAGGTGTAGGTGGGATGTGGGGAATTCTCAGGTGGTATTGGAGACTCTTAAGCAACGGGGATGGGTTTCCATATGTGTCAGATCACTGGGTAAGAGGCCACGCATTCTCTTACAACTCTCTCTCTTCCTCTCCCTCCCCCTTCATCCGCTCTCTGTCCGCCTCTCTTTCACACAATCTCTCTCACACACTGTCTGTCTCTCTTACGCGCTCTCATACACTCTCACTCCCCCTCATCTCTCTATGCCTCCGTTCTCTTTATGCCCCACCCCACCTCTCTCTCCCTCCCTCTCACTGTGTTTCACACAATCTCTCACACACATTCTTCCTGTCTCTCCCCCCTTCTCTATTTTGTTCCCTCCTCTGTCTCACTCTTTCACACTGATGACTGACTGATGTCTGACTGATTCACTGTCTCTCCCCCTCTCTCTCACTCCCTCTCTCCCCCTCTCTCTAACTCGCTCCCTCCCCCCTCACTCCCTCTCTCTCTTTTCCCCCATCTCTCTCCCGCTCCTCTGTCTCATTCTCTTTCCCTCTTTCCTCTCTCCCCCCTTTACTTCACTCCCTCCCTTTCTTGCACTCTCCCACTCCCTCTCCCCCCCTCTCTGTCTCTCTCTCTCTCTCCCTCTTTCATGCAAGGATTAGTTTATTATAATCTGTCTCTCTCTTTCCCCCTCTCCTCCTCCCCTCTCTCTCACCCCTTCTCTCTCCCTGTCCCCCACCCCCTTCTCCTCCACCTCCCTCTCTCTCCCCCCCTCTCTTTCTTTTCCCCTCCACCTCCCTCTCTCTCTCCCCCACATCTCTCTCTCCCCCTCTCTCTCCCCCACATCTCTCTCTCCCCTCTTTCTCTCACCCCCCTCTCTCTTTCCCCCTTTTCTCTCCCTCTCTCTCCCCACCTCTCTCTCCTTCCCTCTCTGTCTTACTGTCTCTCTCCCCGCTCCCTCTTCCCCCTCTCCCTCACTCTTATCACTCTCTTTCCCTCCTCTCTCTTCCCCATTCTCTCCCTTCCCCTCCACCTCCCTCTCCCCCCTCTCTCCCTTTCTCTCTTCCCCCACCTCTTTTTCCCCTTCTCTCTCTCCCTCTCTCTCCCCACTCTTTCCCTCCACCTCCCTCTCTCATTTCCCCTCCCTCTCCCCATTCTCCCTCTCCCCTCACTCTCTCCCCTCTCCCGCTCTCATTCCCTTTCCCATCTCTCTGCCACCCTCTCTTTCTTATCCCTCTCTCTCTTTCGCTTCTCTTTCACCTTCTCTCTCCCTCCTCTCTCCCACCCTCGCTCTCTCCCCTCTCCCCTAACTCTTTCCCCGCTTGCACTCTTCCCCCCTCCCCCTTTCTCTCTCCCCCTCACGCTCACTCTCTCTTTCTCCCCCGCTCTCCCCCCCCTCTCTCTTTACCTCCCTCTCCTTTGCCCCCTCTCCCTCCCCACTATCTCTCCCGCTCACCCCACCCCCCTCTCTCTCACCATCTCTTTCCCCCCTCTCTCCCTGCTCTCTCTTGTCCCCCCTCCCTTTCTCTCTGCCCCTCCCTCTTTACCCCTCTCTCTCCCTGCCCCCTTCCCCCCCTATATCTCTCCCCTCTCCCCCCCCTCTGTCTCCCCCCTCTCGCTCCCCCTCTCGCTCCCTTTTTCTCTTCCCTCTCCCCCTCACTCTTCCCTCCCCCTCTCTCTCCTCCCCTCTCTTAACCCCTCTCTCTTCCCTCCTCTCCCTCTCTCTTTTCCCCTCCTCTCTCTCTTCCCCCGCTCTCTCTCTTCCATCGCTCTCTCCTCCTTCACTTCCCCTCTCTCTCCCCCCACCCACATTCTCTCCCTTTCTCTCCCACCTCGCTCTCCCAATCTCTCTCTCCACCTCCCTTTCTCATTACCCCTCCCTCTCCCCATCTCACTTTGCCACTCTGCGCCCCCCTCTCTTTCCCTCTCTCTCCCCCTCTTTCTCTCTCTCCCCCCCCACCCCCTTTTCTCTCTCTTTCCTGCAGACCCGTGTCTTGTTGTTGACCTGGGGAGCTTGGTGTTTACGGATGAAGAAGCCTGGGGGCCCGAGAGAGGACCTCGTCTCCCATCATCCGCCCTGTCAGCGCCGCAGGAGCTCAGCAAGCGAGGGGTACCCGGGGATCTCAGGGGAGGGTTTTCTGGGGCCTGACCCCACCCAGGGGGTCACCGGGGGGCCCGAGCTCACACGCCTGCTGCAGGAGGTGGAGTACCTGACGGAGCGAGAGAGGGAACGAGAGAAGGAGGAGGAGGAGAGGGAGGAATGGAGGTTCGCGGCCGCTGTGATGGACAGAATGTGTCTCGTGGGTTTCTCCATCTTTAACATCCTGTCGACCATCTCCATCCTCATGTCAGCCCCCAGCTTCGGGGACGCACTCGCCAAGGACTTCCTGTGATCCTTCCTCCCTCCCTCCCTGCTTTCCTTGCTCGTTCTCTCACTTTGTTTGCCAGACGGTGATATCGATGGCCAAGCTGTGTGGGTTTAGCTGGTTAGACTCCAGCAGTTACCCCAATACACACTCTGGGCTATTTGCTTTTTTAATGGCTTTGTCCAAGAACAAGACACAAAAGCTGAATTTCTTTAGGGTTAGGACATTAGTGACAGAATGTACCTATGCTTTGATTGGACAAACTAGTCCTAAATCATGGAGTCCTGTAGTGTTTGGAACACTCACCTCGCAAACAAGACAATCCGGGTTCGATTCCCGGGTAGGTCAGGGCAAAACCTTAGGCAAGTTTCCTTACAACATACACACGCCTCTGTTTACCTCGCAGTAAGTAGCAATCCGCTTGTTAGTTAATTGGCAGATCGCTTTTCTGGGGATCTGTTCAAAATAAATAAATACTAATAATAATAACTTGGTCACTCAATTCATGACTGTTTGTAGGACGCTGCTGTGCGCAATTGGCTGCCACGTTTCACCCACAAAATAAAGGCGCTATATCAAATCAAATGCAGGGATTATTATAGTCCTAAACTATGGTTGGATGAAGATCCCAAATTCACCTCTGAATTACAGTCTTCACCTCAAAGACCTGGGTATAAAAGGCGTTTTAGTCAATTTCAATGAAATGCAGATTGGAACATGGGACCCTTCAGCCGCTCAAGCCTGTTCCACCATTCTATAAGATCATGGCTGATGAGACGTGTCATTGCTATGCCAATTGGCTGCGCATTTCGCCCACAAAATACACAGTAACTACACTTTACAGTACATTCTGTGAAGCACTTTGAGGCTGGGATGGGCTGCACCTGAGCAGGGCTGGGACCAAGGTTCTAGCGGAAAGGATAAATAAATAGGACTGTAAAAAAGCTTTAAACCATTAAGGGGGGGAGGGTAGTGGTTGGGGGAGGGTCGGGTGGAAACAACTCAATCATAAGGTAAGGAGAGGATGAGAGCACTGGCCAGAATACAAACAAATAACATAATACTACAGGAAGAAATAAGGTTATCACAAAAGGGTGAATGAATCAAGTCAAGCAGTGTGAGAAGAACACCATCAGGGCATATAGACATGTTGGGGATTACCCACATGAGCGTTACAACAACAACAAGATTCCATTTATAGAGCGCCTTTCGCGTCAGGAGGTCGTCCCAAGGTGCTGTACAGTTGGGTCAGGCCCCGAGCATTGGGGGGAAATGGTCAGGCGGAGGGAGGGAGCGAGGAGGGGGTAGAGAGTTGAGAGGGGAGGTGAAGGCTGAAGGTCAAAGAGAAAGGTCTTGAGACCGGCCTTGAAGGAGGAAAGGGAGGAAGCGGCGAATGCACTGGGGGATAGAGTTCCAGAGCCTCGGGGCTGAAGGCCCGGCCACCAATGGTAGGGCGGTTGGGGCGGGGGAGGTGTAGCAGACCGGAGCCAGAGGAATGGAGGGTACGGGCAGGTGGGTAGGGGGATAGTAGTTATTTACACAAATGAATGGAGCAAAAGAAATAAAACAAGTGAGTTAGAAGCACAAATTCAGCTTAAAGGGTATGATGTAGCGGCTATTACAGGAGCGAGCAGCGGGATGGAGTGTGGAGGATGGCATCGTGATGATGTGACCAAACGTGGATTGCAAAAACAGGGGGAAAAAAACCTTTTTGAAAACCAGGTGAGTGAGAGTTTGATTGGTGTGGAGCCGGGGTGGGGGGGGGGGGGGGGGGCTCTTGGGCTTGAGGCCTCCCAGTCCAAGGCCATCGCTGGCTCTCCTGGTGGTCAACAGCCAATCAGAGATCGGCTGAAGAAACGTGACATCACCTTTGAGTTTCTGAGCCTGGACTCACTGGGTCTACAACATTATCCACCACCCCCCCCACATTCCCCCCCATCCTCATTCCCCACCACCCTCCCCCGGCCCATCACCCTAGCCCCCATCGCCCCCCCACCACCCTCCACCCGTCCCCCAGCCCACCACCCTCCCCCCCAGCCCACCACCCCGTTCCCCTTCCCGTCTCCCCCGGCCCCCACACCACCACCCTCTCCCCCCCGGTCCCCCCTCCCCCCGTGCTGTCCCTCACCAGCCGCTAACTCTCAGTGTGTGCATTTTGGTTGCCACCAACCTGAGCTGCTTCCCCAAAGTACTCCCACCCCTGTCCTCTACGCTCCATTGCACCCACTTGTTCCTCCTCTTCCACCACCTTCCCCATCTCCTATCACTGCTCAACTGTCCCACAGCCGCCCTCTGCTCCAGCCTGCGAATCCTCCGTTGGGCCCACATGGCAGACGCCACTGGCTGTTAACAGCAGCCACTCTGACTGCCCTATCCTCTATTCTCGCAGCAAGGCCCACCTGTCCCTGATCATGGAGCCAACCTCTCCTCCCTCATCTGCATCCGCCCCTCCCTGTCAGTCCTCCCCACTCCTCGCCCCCCACATTCCCCCACCAACAGTGCCCTCCGCATCAGCCTACAAAACATCCGCTCCCTCTCCAGCAAAACGCTCACCATCCAAGACCCCATTGACCAATGAGGTATCAAAGTAAAAGAAAAGGCTTCCTCAAATACAAGAAAAAGTGGGAATGCAGAGGACTGGGAAAAGTGGGAATGCAGAGGTCGTGGAGCTGAAGCAGATCCCTTTACTTTGTCCATAGATGCTGAGTTCCCAGTGACTTCTGTTTTTGTTTTCAGATTTCCAGCATCTGCAGTATTTTGTGTTTTGAGTGGCTCATTCCAGCCAAACCATTAGTTTTCATAGCGAATAAAGCATCAATGTTTAGCCTTGCTGCAAAACATCTGTCACTATTCACATATCCTCATTCTTTACCTTCTATCCCCACACCTAATTTATTTTGAACAGTATGGCCAGTTGCACAAATAGCAGGCCTGACCTTAACCTCCACCTACCCAAAAGCCCTTAAATCAACACTAACCCAAACTTAAAACCTACTTCTCGCCCTAATCACCCTAACACTAATTGGCAGGACCTAACTCTAACCTCTGTTACTAACAATTTCTTATCTCAACCTCCAGAGTAAATAGAATTTGGTTCCTCTGTGTTTGGATTTCAGACATCCTGTAGTCCTGTAGCTCAGTGGTCAGAGAACCCGCCTCGCAAGTGAGACCGAGGTTGTTGGCCAGGACACCAGCAGAGAGAAACTCCCTTCTCTTTTCGAATAGCGCCATGGGACCTTTAATGTCCACCTGAACAGGCAGACAGAACCTTGGTTTTAATGTCTTATCTGAAGGACAGATGAGACAACCCCCCAAATAAACAGTTGCTAAAACCACTCTGGTGTTGGGGATAGTGAGAGGGTTGGAGAGAGAAAGGTAGATTTTTAAATTATAACAATCCTCCAACATAGGAACCTCCCCCACCTTTGGTGACTATCCAAGGCAATCTGGCCTCTGAGTCTGAAGGTTGTGGGTTTGAGACCCAGGGTGGGATTTGGAGTCACAGTCTAAGCTGATGCTCCAGGCGATGCTATCGGGAGAGCGTTGTAAGAGAAGCCTTTTGGATGAGACTTTGATAATAATCCTTGCATTTGATATAGCACCTTATCACATTTTCTAGACGTCTTCAAGAACTTCACAGAATATACTGTAAAGTGTAGTGACTGTATATTTTATGGGCAAAACGCAGCAGCCAATTGCGCATAGCATTGTCCCACAAACAGTCATGGATTGAGTGACCAAATTATTATTATTGTTATTATTATTTTAAGCAATTATTACCTGGGAAAACCCAATCGACTAACAACTGGATTTCTGCAGGTAAACAGGTGTGTGTGGAGTAGGGAAACTTGCCTAAGGTTTCGCCCTGCCTGGGAATCAAACCCGGGTCCTCTCGTTTGTGAGGCGAGTGCTCTAACCACTGAGTTATAGGACTCCATGTGAAACTGAGCTCATCTGCCTGTTCAGGTGCACATTAAAGATCTCTCACCTCGCTGATAAAAAAAAGTTTTTCTCTCCCCGTGACCTGGCCAATAAATCCTCCAAATAAAATCGCTCGCTTGCTCAGTGGCTGTTTGCTGGAGTCTTTACCTTTCCTATTACCACATGATGGCCATAGGGTGACGGTGACGCTCTATGCAAACAGTAAATTTATACTGTACTTGAGAGAGACGTGGAAAAGTGAGTGAGAGATGGGGGCGGGGGAGGATGCGTGGCGTGTTGGGGAAAAGCGTCCGGTGGGTGGGGGGAGAGTAGAGAGTGTTGGGGTGAGAGGTCAGTTGGGTTAACAGGAGCTGAGTGGGAGGATTCCCTGCCCCCAATGTCTGGGTGACACTTCCAAGTCCTGCCGATGAGCCAAATACTGTGCTGGGGTACTGTGGACCTGCCTGGCTCAGGCACCAGACTAGAGATCATCACAGAGAGCTGGCTCAGTTCTTACAATCCTAACCCTAAAGCCTAACCACCCCTAACCCTTACTCCCACTCCCCCCCCACCCCATCCTGCCCTAACCCTAAACCCTATTTGGTGTAGACCAAGTCTCCTTAACCCTAATTCACAAACCCTAACCCAATCCCCTGAGTGGTAGAGCCTCCCTCATGCCCCTCAACCCTAATTGTGTCATTTTCACAAGCTTTTGTGGGTCCCACCCTGTGGCCAAAAGAGATCGCACTGGGCTGTCAGAAGCAAAACTCATCTGTACCAATTTTCTCAGGATAGGCGCACACTGCTCACTTCTCAAGTCAAAGGAAAATAAATACTAGACATTTGTTATTAAATATGTCCTTATATATTTTTAATTAATTTCTGTAGAAAATGCTTTAACACATAAATGTTTTATGTGAACATAATGTCTGAAGCTCTGAGTTTTACTTTAAGAATAAAAATGTTTAAATATAAAATACTGCATATACATTGATTATTCGAATTACATTATTTTCATGAATAATTCACCTCTCATCATCTTCATAGCTCAGCTCAAGAATGCCACTTTGTGTTACACAGGAATAGGTTAAAGAGAAGTGTGAGTA